TTTTTTTTGCGCTATTATTCCATTTAATTAATGTACGACTTTTCTGTAAAATCGATAAAATAAATTTCAGGGCGCAGAAGATGATGATGATGACGATGTTTTGTCCGATGAATTAGCGGTGATTGGATTTTGGAGTGCGTTTATTTGGTTAGCTTTGATGACGGCTGTTGTAGCACTTTTATCCGAATACGTCGTGGCCACAATTGAAGTAAGTTGCTCTATAATTTATCCTTTCTTTCCTACTATTATTATGAAGGCCAACTTCTTATATGTTATGAAGAAAAAATAAATCTCGATTTTGTAACTAGGCTGCATCGGATTCTTGGGGCCTGTCGGTTAGCTTCATTAGCGTGATTTTGCTACCGATAGTCGGAAATGCAGCCGAACATGCCGGGGCCATCATTTTCGCATTCAAGAACAAATTGGTAAGTCCTTAAGAGCTTGCTTGTATATTATAAGTTTTCTTTATTGGATCTCTTTTTTTTTTTTTTTTTTTTTGGAAAAGTTGGTTGGGTTGGATTTGAGTGAGATTTTTGTATTTGTATTAAAATAATATTTAAAATAAAATGATTAAAGTTGATTTGATATAAAAATAAGATAGAGATGATTAAAAGTGATTGTTAATTAAAATTATATAAGTGGATGAACATTGATTTGATGTGTAAGTATGATTGATTAGTAAAAATCTATATTGTAGCATATGCACTAAAACTTTCTAGTTCCATGAATAAAAAATGACGTTATTATTGATGTTTTTGAAATATTGACATTATGAGTTTTTATATATATATATGATGCAGGACATAACTCTAGGTGTAGCTCTAGGCTCGGCCACTCAAATCGCCATGTTCGTGGTAAGTTCTATTCCAAACTCTAACGATCAAATTAACAAACAAATTAACGTGTATAATTAATAAAATTTGGTTTCGAATTCTCGAACATTATTTAGGTTCCGTTAAGCGTGTTAGTTTCATGGATCATCGGCATCAGAATGGATCTCGCTTTCAATCTCCTTGAGACAAGCGCTCTTGCCTTGTCGATACTCGTAACAGCTTTCACGTTACAGGTTGATCGATTTCTATAATTCACGCGTGAATATCTTTTTCGAAACTAATAATCTATCAATATTGTTGAGTTTTTTTATTTTTTCTTTTGAACTACAGGATGGAAATTCTCATTACATGAAGGGACTTGTGCTTCTAATGTGCTACCTTGTTGTTGGGGCCTCCTTTTTTTGTGTTTAGGACACCAGTTAAGTAAGAATTGATCCATATATATCAGGTCATTTATTTATTTATTTGTCTATTTTGATGGGTAAAACATTATTTCAAACCTGTACTATACGTCTTTTATTTTCCTTTCTTTTTTGGTAAGATATGCAATATGGACTTCATGAACATTTATTTATAATTTGCAACCTCTCTTACATCTTGACCATTCACGTGTCAAATTTTTATGATGATTGTATGGTCTAGATGTAGAAGAAGCTGCAAAGTATAAATATTCACAAGGTTCGAATTACATTTTGCTAAAACATTGCAAAGTATATACAAAACTCAAATAACACGAATAATAAAGGTTGTAGCCAATGTTTTTTTTATATTTTGTGGTCAACTAACCATTTTTTTCTCCTTTAATTTTCTGAAATTGAGCAGACTCTAGAAGAAAACAGAATGCAAGCACTCGTTTAAATGGAGATGAGATCTGTGTGAGTGTATCAGATGTGATTCATTTGGGTGTTTGAATATAATGAAGAGAACTGAGCAAATATGTAATGTATTTTTTAAAATTATTAAATAAAATGTGTTCTATAGTAGGCCTACTGAACTTATTTGTCTAGGCTTGTAAAGAGCCCATGTTTAGGCCCGCTAATAGAAGCGGGCAGTTACTGCGCTTAATAACCAAGAGCCCATTATGAGAAAAGCTACGTAAACTTGTGATATAAGCTCGAGTATAAAAAAATACAGTCTTAACCAACTAAACTTATTTGTATACACAAAGTTTGTAAGTCAACTAAATAAATATTTTCAAATACACTCTAAAAATATCAAATAAGCTTTTAATTATTAATTCATGTCAATCGCGTGACATAATATTAGCAATGAAAAACTTACAGTAATTTTGAGCACATTATCATGGAAGACGAAAGTTTTAAGGAAATAAATTTTTTCAAAGCACCTAGTCCATAAATTCTGTGTATCAAAGAGAGGTTATGTTTACCATTTGATAAATAAAGTTTCTTAGTCGCTAAAAATAAAAACAATTTTATTAGATTAGAATCATATTCATACCATACTCAGCCCGCCTATTCGATCCTTTTAAGGCTATGTTTGGTAAAACTAGCTGATAAAATAGCTTATAACTTTTATATGTAATTTTCGAGCTTATAGCTTATAACTTATGACTTATAGCTGAAAAGCTAGCTTATATGATAAAAGCGTTTGGTAAAATTAGCTGATAAACTAGCTGAAATAAAAATTTCAACTAGCTTATTTGAAAAGCTGACTAAAGAAGCTTAAGAGATAAGCTGGAGCTTTTTTAAAAAAACTCGTCCTACCAAACGAGTCTTATTTAAATATAGGAAGCTTATAAACTAACCAAATAAGCTATAAGCTTACTTATTTACCTACCAAACATAGCCTAAGTAAGTTCCCCACCTTGTAACGAAGATAATATATATATATTTATGGTATTTAGTAAATGAAATAAATAATATCAGTTTCATATGGTAAAGTCTTATTTAGGAAAGAAAAAAGATTAAAAAAATATATACATACTTATCGAACTTGCAATTTTTTTATTTTGTCTTTTCAAAGCAATAATCTATATATAAATTAAATTACGAAGCACATAAATTTTGTCACTTCAAAATTCAAAGCGTGCGAGTCTATTATGTAGGCTCAGCTCCCTTGTTCTATATGCGGTTAGACGAGCTTCTTGGGTCTCTTCATCTTGTCTCAGCTCCTNGATATCAAGTATTCCAAAACAATAATGTATATACAAATCAAATTACGAAGCATATATAAATTTTGTCATTTCAACATTCGAAATGTGTGAGCTTGTCATGTAGCAAGCTCAACTCCTTTGTTTCTATAGTCGAAACGTGTGAGCTTGTCATGTAGCAAGCTCAGCTCCTTTGTTTCTATAGTCTGTTAGACGAGCTTCTGGGGTCTCTTCCTCTTGTCGAAGGCTTTGACGGGAAAGTTTGTAGTTGTGGTGGTGAGGGCAGCCGACAAGTTGCACGACCCATCTTTTAGTGGTGGCTGTTGACGATCAAGTTTCTAAATTTAATTAGTCATGAGTCATTTTGGAGTTTTTAGATTTGAGAGTGAATGCGTTTTGATTCATTTTAGAATGGTTGACTTTGAGGCAGAAGATGCAGAGAGTAATAACCTATATTTTGGAGGGGGGGGGGAGTGTTTGTTTATAAATAAACTAAATGCATACTCAAAATTTAGTTGAATTTTAATTTAACTTCTTTAATGTTACCAATATAATTAAATAATACCAAACAAGCATTTTTATACATCACATCAACTTTAATTCAATTTTCATCTAACCATCACTTCACTTCATGTATCTCTTACTTTTACATCAAATCAACTTTAGTTATTTTACTTAAAATATTATTTAATATAAGTTCAAAATTCATTAACAATTAACCATATCATAATTTTTTAAAATTAATCCAGAATAACAAAAAAACAAGTTTTAGCAGATTTATTTATATACAAGCATAGGTTCTTAATTTTTGTGTTTTGGTTCGTACAATATGCATATTTTGTTCTAGAGTATCACTTTTCAACTCCAACATGTAATTGTTGTCCAAGTTGTATTCATTTTGGTTGATACCTCTGTACTAAAAATCGGCCTAGGCGCTAGGTAGGGCTGTAACGAGCCGAGCCGAACTCGAGCTTAGGGTGCTCGTGTTCGAGCTCGACCCCTTAACGAAACAAGTCGAGGTCGGCTCGTTAAATAAACGAGCATGGAATCAAGCTCGAGCTCGACTGTTAAGGCCTCGAGCTCGAGCCTTAATTGCCGATATATAAAAAATTAAATAAAAATTCTATTTTCGAGCCTTATCGGGCCGAGCCGAGCTCGGCTCGTTAGCAATCGTGCTTTAAATAAGCTCGAGCTCAGCTCGTTAAGGCCTCGAACTCGAGTTTTAACGAGCCAAGCTCGCGCAGACTCGTTTAATTTAACAGCACTAGTGCTAGGCCGGCCGCCTCCGATTTGCATAAATTGGCTGAAAAAATTGGTCAGGCCACTAGGCGGTGCCTAGGCGGGCTCAAGGGTAATTTTTTAATTTTTTAATTTATTTAATACTAATTACATTTTTTTGTTATCATATTTTCTTTATAATATATTAATATTATTATTTGAAATTAGGGGTGTTGATTTATTATAAGTTGAGATAATTTTATTTTTTAAATAATAAAAATAAATAGAAAATAAGGTATTTAATCTTAATGTCTAAGCCCGCTTACGCTCCAACTAGGTCTCGCCTAGACACTTTAGGCGTTAGACGCAGGTCGGCGGGTGCCTTGTAATTTTTTTTTGGTTTGACTTATATAATATTGATAGACATGTCCACGGGTCGAACCGGCCCGGACCCGGACCGAACCCGGCCCGGCCCGAACTGGACCCGGCCCGGAGAAGCCGGTTTTCAAACCGGAACCGGACATCTAGCGGGCCGGTTCCGGGCCTTTTCGGTAATAAAAAAACCCGGCGGGCCGGGCCCGGTCCGGGCCGGGTTTACGGGTTCAAGACTCAAAATTCAAAAAAAAAAAAAAA